AAAAAAAAAAAAAAAAAAAAAAAAGACACATGCACCCCAATGTTCACTGCAGCACTATTTACAACAGCCAGGACATGGAAGCAACCTAAATGCCCATGGACAGACGAATGGATAAAGAAGTTGTGGTATGTATATACAATGGAATATTACTCAGCCATAAAAAGGAACGAAATTGAATCATTTGTTGAGACGTGGATGGATCTAGAGACTCTCATACAGAGTGAAGTATGTCAGAAAGAGAAATACAAATATCGTATATTAACGCATGTTTGTGGAACCTAGAAAAATGGTACAGATGAACCAATATGCAGGGCAGAAGTTGAGACAGAGATGTAGAGAACAAATGTATAGACACCAAGGGGGGGAAAACGTGGGGTGGCGATGGTGGTGTGCTGAATTGGGAGATTGGGATTGACATGTATACACTAATGTGTATAAAACTGATGACTAAAGAACCTGCAGTATAAAACAAACAAACAAACAAAAACAAATAGTACTAAACTTTCTTTGGCTTATTTGTATGGAAATATATTAATATAAATGTTTCAGACATTACATGAAATTTCTTAAAATCTTATATGTTCTGGTATAATAAGTCATAATTCTAGTTATTACTTTAAAATGTATATATCAGAAATAACTAAATTTCCTTGTCAATTGCATTATTATGAACTTTCATCACATCTTTAACCGTGGCCATTTTTAAGTCTTTTGTCATTTACAGACAGTTCTGGGTGTACTCTGATGCTTTTGCAAAAATGTTCCTATAAAAGGGTTTCATCTTCAAGGAATTCATGGAAAAGACTCTGACAAGTACAGGTTTCTGGTAACTGACTATATGCTGAACTGAATGAATACGCATTTTCAGAACTCTAATGGAAAACTGATGCATTCATAAAAGTGCTAACAAAAGATCAAGATGAAAAAAATTAACTACATGGGACTGAGTAAACTGATGAGGATGATTATAATTTTTGTGACTTTCTCTTTGAATGAAACAAAAATGTTAAAAAAAAAAAAGTTCTAAAATTAGATCGGGGTGATGGTGGCACAACTCTGTGAATATCCTAAAAGCCATCACATTGTACCCGTTAATGGGTATGCCCCACGGAATATGGATAATGTCTCACTAAAGCTGTTATTAAAAAATAGTAACATCTTTTCTTCTCAATCAGAAGGGATAAAAATCAACCCTATTTCTTCAGCATGATCAAAGAGATCAGTCTCAGTAAGAAAAATAAAGCCAAACAAAAGGCTTTAAAGAAAATACATACATCGTGCACATGAAATAGTGGGAAAGGATTTTCCAAGTGAAGTTTGAACCCTAGAGCTAGAAAAAGCCAAGTGGCAAGTGGCACTCGTAGTAGCCACGACGACAGTCAGGACAGACACTGCAAGGTGAGAGCTAGGACGTCCCCCCACACCAGCCACGGGGCTCCCAGCCAGGACCCGCCCCTGCTCCCACCTCCGACTGTTTCACCAGCAGCTCCGACCACTTCTGCCACAGGGGACACTTGTCCCTGTCCTCAAACGTGGTCTCATTGGAAGTCCAGCAGCACTGCTCGTGGCTGTACCAGAAGGCGGACAGGCAGATTCCCTCCTTCAGGTCTGTCATCCAGTCGACGGCGAGATCGATGACCCCGGCCAGGGTGCCTGGAAGAAGCAGCGAGAGCCACTCAGAGGGACAGCTGGCGTGGGCCAGGGCAGCGCGTGCGCCCGGAGGGCCAGGCGGAGATGCCTGTGCCCCGGGCTGCCACGCACCCAGGAAGCCTCTTTCTTCAGTCTTGAGGTCATCTGAGCGAGTGGCAGGGCACCAGGTGAGGCAAAAGTGATGCCCAGCCCAGTGAGACACAAAGGCCAACGACACGCTGTCCTCAGGGGGCTTCGACAGGGTGGGAGGGAGAGACCGGCAGCGCTGAGCCCACCGCAAGCCTCTGGGGCCGAGCGGCTTTCAGAACCCAGCCCTTCCAAATCTTAGAAACAGGCTACCTACACCCTATAAATCATGTAACCCCCTCAGCGGCTTCTGGGGCAGGATGCTGGGATCACACACATGAATATCCTCCAGGAAACCTGACAATTCAGACAAAATGGAGACAAAACGATTTATAATAGCCTCATCATTGAAATAAAGTTTTGCCACCAAATGGAATCCAGCTTGAAAAATCTCACTTGTTAGAACTTTCTGGATTTTTTAAAAAATTATGGATAAAGGATTGAGGAGCTACATAAGTAAATAACTACTTTAAAGGCCGATAGAAGTGGGATAAAATCGAGTGTGCAGTGGGTCAGAGAAGGCCATTTTAGGTCTCTTTCTAGAATAACCCATTCCAGTCTTTTACGAAGGCAGGGAATACTTTTGCGCTACCAAACTTTTCACACTTTTACTGGATCCTTATTACAACATCAATTCCCCAAAGGCAGCCATACGCCAGCCTCAGGCGACCTGGCCTTGCCACTCTCCTGGTTCCATCAGCAGTCGCCCACTATTCTAGCCAGAACACCCGAATCCTCAGCAGCGTGCAGGCTCTGACCGCCGTTCCCACGTTTCTCTCCAGGCTCCTCTCTCTCCATCACGAATCCCACACACTGCCCACACAGTGTTCCTTGGCACACCAGGCCCTCCTCTCTGCACCGCCTCAGATAGCACTGTCCTCCCCCAACCCGGCAAGCTCCTATTTATCTTCCAGATGCTGGCATTTATATCACCTCCTTCAGGAAGTCTTCCCTGATTTCCTGAGTCTGGGCTAAGCATACTTCCCAGGCATTCCCCATCACCACACCTATCACATCCTGATATGATCAGTATTTATATATATGTGTATGCACACCCACACACTCCAACTAGTCTATAAGGGTGGGGGGAGTCTCTTGTCTGGTTTGTGTGCCACGGTGGGGATCAAGCCAGGTGTCTAGACCCTGTGTCCCCTTTAAGTGGACAAGGGCCATTGTATTCACGTCGGGTACATAACTGGAACTATATATCCATGTTGAATGAATGAGAGCAACAAACGAATGAAAATCAGGAAACTCAGGTCCATCCGTTCACTCAAGAGCTATTTACTGAGCACCTATGTACTACGTGCCACGTACTGTTCCACACCCTGGGGTACAGCAGTGAACAAAGCAAACTCAGGTCCCTGCCTTCATGGAATCTCACCTTGTGCGAGAAGACACTAGATTGAATAAGTAAGTAAATGAGGGGCTCCAACAGAAGGTGGTAGGTGCTAGAGAGGAGAATACAGCACGTTCCAATGGCAGCCATTTCCTACAATGGTGCAGGAGAACAGTCGGACACGTCCTCAAAAAGTTAAACAAGGAGTCACCACCTGACCAAACACTTCCATTCCTAGGCATCTGCCCACGAGAAATGAAAACGTATACCCAACACAAGACGTACGCAAATGTTCACAACTGCATATTCACAGAAGCCAAAGAGTGGAAACAACCCATATGCCCATCAATTGCTGAATGGAGAAACAAAATGTGGTCCACCTACAATGGCAACAAAAAGGAATGAAGCGCTGACACATGCGACAGCATGGATGAACCTTGGAAACGTTATGCTGTAAAAGAAGCCAGTCACAAAAGACCATATATTGTATGATTCCATTTTATGAAATGTCCGGAATAGGCAAATCTACAGAGACAGCAAGTAGATTAGCGGTTGCCCAGGACTGAGCGGAGGCTAGGGGCACTGGGGCTGAGAGCTAAAGGGTAGGAAGGTTCTCTGGGAGCTGATGAAAATGTTCTAAAATTGGCCTCGGTGATGGTTGCAAAACTGTGAATACACTAAAAACCACCAAGTTGTACACTTTAACTAGGTGAACTGTGTGGTATGTGAGTTATATCTCAATAAAGCTGTTACATACAAACACACGTACATACATATAGTGGGCGAGAGCGACGAGGCTCAGAGAGGGAGACTGCTTTTAGAAAAGGTGGTCAGAGAACACCTCAAGCAGATGACATTGGAACAAAAACTGCCTTGTGTGGAACAACAGCGACACCCAGTGGTAGCTCCTGGTTAACGCCCTGCAGAGGAGCCGCACCTTGGGCCTCTCCGTCTTGGCCGTCGGAATATAATGTCTGGGCTGCCACTACGGAGGTGACAGGCAAGACAGTGGGACCCCTGGGCCTCGCCACTGGAAAACGGGAAGGTGAATAGGGCAGTTTTCTGGCTTTTCCTTCATCCAGATCAAAAGAACAGTTTTGCCACCTTCACTGCCAAGATCATCTCTTTCTTGCCTCCCACCTATATTCATCTGCTGATGTGACCATGGGATCGCCCTTCTCCAGCAGTCCTCACCCCTGGCTGCATATTAGAATCACAGGGGAAAGGGGGCTTTACTCAATGCTAGGGTGTCATCTCCAGGGCTACTATTTAATTGAAGCCTGGGCAGCAGCATTTCTTTTAATTCCCCAGGTGATTCTTCCTGAAAGAACTTATGGAAATCGGATTAAGAGTGAAGCCCGGTGGTCGGTATCTGACTTGTTAAAGACAGCCCGACAGGGCTCTGAGATCAGTTGATAAATCTACGCTGTGTGACTCCAGCAGGACGCCAAGACATCTACTCTGATTCCTTCATTTCCCGTATTCATGCCTCCTTCCCAGGAGCCAAGAATAACACAGGGTACAGTTTTATAAATCTATTCTAAAGAAAGACATCAAAGTTCGCAGCAAACTACCCTCTCCGCCCTCCCCCCCCCCACCTACCTTTAAAGGACTTCATAGAGCCTAACGAATGGGTGGCAAAACGCCATATGTCCATGAACTCGAATTCCCTCCCAGCACTGCTGCCAATATATACCGGGAGCGCCACTGGGAGGGGAAGGACAGGATGGGCGGAATGGGTGGGTAACTGCTGTGGCCGGAAGGAGAGGACTGCCCCTTCAGCACTCTCCTGGGCCCTTTATGACATGCCAGGCAGAGGGAGTCCCTCCCTGGCAACCAAGCCGCTCCTACCATTGTAGATGTAACGAGTGACAGGGCAGCCAGAAATCAAAGTCCTCTAATCACAAAATTTTACCCTATGCCCCGCAGGTGCTCTGCGAGTAAGTACTATATTCAACCTGTATCACAGAGCCATTCTCTGATCAGTCCTATAACCATAACTAGCATGTTACTACAGGCAGGGGGGGTTTCTTAAGGGAATCTCTTTACCATCGTCAAATTTTTTTCTTCTTAGACATTAACCTTCACAGCCTCCTAAAAGGAAGTAAGTTTTAGGAAACAGTTTCCATGGAGGGCTGGTGCATTTGCTATTAAAAGGGGAGGTGTCCCCTCCAGATACTCATTCATTCACTCTGGAAACAGCTACTGCTCACAAACATGGTGTTGGGATTATAAAAATGAAGGACACGGAGTCCCTGGGGGTCAGAACAACCCATGGGCTGGAGGTACCTCCCCTGGGCCTTCCTCAGACCCTGTGGTGTCTCGCGTTACTGTGAGCGTCTCTCGATGTTTACAATTCATCTCAGGGCCTGCCGGTGTTAGTAAAGGCCAGTCTCATATGATGTTTTATTTTTAGAGATCAACATGTTCCCGTCCTTTCTCGCCTTCTACGTGGCCAAGTACTATAGAATGTGAAATGTGTGTTTTCAATAAAATCCAGCATGGCAGTAAACCTTTGTACAGTGTGGAAAGGGCCAACCTGCCTTCTCGGTACCACGCTCCAATGACCGTAGCTGGGCCTGTCCGTGCCTTGGGGTCTTTTTGCTTTACTGACGATAGATTTACGTTAACTGTATCGTCGTGTATTGTGCTCTTAGGTATTTCAGGTAACAGCCCCCTTGCCTGAAGTACAAGAGGAACACTCCACGTACCTGCCAGCAGGCCAATGAGCAGCATCACCGCCCATCCCGACCAGGCATCCAGCAAGCTCTTGATGAACTCCCATATGGACTCCTTGCTTTTGCTGGTTATCTAGAAGCAGAAAGATATCGGAGTTGATGTGGATACACTTTCCAATTCAGGCTTCCTTCTCTGAAACTGTTTCCTCAGGAAACACGGTGATTGAGAAAACGAATATAATGAAGCAACTAGACTGCCGCTTACGTGATTCTTTCAGTTACCTAGCCCAATGGTTAAATGGGCTTTCTAGTTCACAGAGCTATAAAGATGCCATAATAGTCTCCAAAGAATCCAAAAAAATTCACTTAATTAAAAAAACCTCACTAAGTGTGATTTGATCTTTGATTATTTCAAAGCCATTCTGAAGGAAGACATAACTTCGGTGTCACCGTTTTGAATACATACAAATCATTATTTTAGCCTAAATCGTAAGGTCTGTTCACAAAAGACCCTCTTCGACAAAGACTTCAATTCCTTCTTTCATTTTCCAGGCTACATGTTAACAACAAAAACGGACTTACTTTCTTTCTCTTTCTTCCTTCCTCCCTCCCTCCCTCCCTCCTTCCCTCCCTCCTTTCTTTCCTTCCTTCCTTCCTTTATGGCTGCGTTGGGTCTTCGTTGCTGTGCGCGGGCTTTTCTCTAGTTGTGGCGAGCAGGGGCTACTCTTCGTTGCGGTGCGCGGGCTTCTCGTTGCGGTGGCTTCTCTTGTTGCGGAGCGCAGGCTCTAGGCACGCGGGCATCAGTAGTTGTGGCTCGCGGGCTCTAGAGTGCAGGCTCAGTAGCTGTGGCACACAGGTTTAGTTGCTCTGCGGCATGTGGGATCTTCCCAGACCAGGGCTCAAACCCGTGTCCCCTGCATTGGCAGGGGGATTCTTAACCACTGCGCCCCCAGGGGAGGCCCAAAAACTTTCTTTTTTTTTTTTTTTTTGCGGGACATGGGCCTCTCACTGCTGTGGCCTCTCCCGTTGCGGAGCACAGGCTCCGGACGCGCAGGCTCAGCGGCCATGGGTCACGGGCCCAGCCACTCCGCGGCCTGTGGGATCCTCCCGGACCGGGGCACGAACCCATGTCCCCTGCATCGGCAGGTGGACTCTCAACCACTGCGCCACCAGGGAAGCCCCGAACTTTCTTTTTTTAACTGAAGTATAGTTGATTTACAATGTTAATTTCAGGTGTACAGCAAAGTGATGCAGTTATACCTATATATATATTTTTTCAGATTCTTTTCCATTATAGGTTATTACAAAATATTAAATATAGTTCCCTGTGCTGTACAGTAGGACCTTGTTGTTTATCTACTTTATATATAGTAGTGTGTATCTGTTAATCCGAACTCCTAATTTATCCCTCCCCCACCCTCTTTCCCCTTTGGTAACCATAAGTTGGTTCTCTATGTCTGTGAGTCTATTTCTGTTTTGTAAATAAGTTCACTTGTACCATTTTTTTAGATTCCACATATAAGCAATATCATATGATATTTGTCTTTCTCTGACTTACTTCACTCAGTATGATAATCTCTAGGCCCATCCATGTTGCTGCATGTGGCATTATTTCATTCTTTTTTATGGCTGAGTAATATTCCATTGTATACATGTACCACACCTTCTTTATCCATTCCTCTGTCAGTGGACATTTAGGTTGCTTCCATGACCTGGCTATTGTGAATAGTGCTGTTAGCTTTGTGCAGTGGCAGTATCACAGCCAATGAGGTTTTATCCGAGGCGTGATTACTGCTAATTGTAAATAGTGCTGCTATGAACATTGGGGTGTATGTATCTTTTCAAGTTAGAGTTTTCTCTGGATACATGCCCAGGAGTGGGATCGCTGGATCACATGATAACTCCACTTTCAGTTTTTTAAGTAACCTCCATACTGGTCTCCATAGTGGCGGTATCAATTTACATTCCCACCAACAGTGTAGGAGGGTCCCCTTTTCTCCACACCCTCTCCAGCACTGCTGTTTGTAGATTTTTTGATGACAGCCATTCTGACCGGTGTGCAGTGATACCTCATTGTAGTTTTGATTAACAGCAAGAAGGCTGAAGGAGCCAGCCTGGACCACGCTTTCCAGGCAGATGGTTACATCTAAACACATTGTAAGAGCGCCCCTTTGCCTCCCTGTGTTAACAGAATCCTACATTCCTGAGACCATCATTCCCCTCATAACCCTTTAGAACAAGGGTTGGCAAACATTTTCTGTAAAGAGACAGAAAGTAAATATTTTCAGTTCGGCAGGTCAGTTGGTCTCCGTGGCAACTACCGGACTCTGCTGTTGTAGCACAGAAGGAGCCATATAGAGCATGGGCAGTGCATCTCTCTTGTATCCTGTGGCCATGGAAAGGAAATCCAGGGCTTTCCCAGTGGCGCAGTGGTTGAGACTCCGCCTGCCATTGCAGGGGACACGGGTTTGACTCCGGTCCAGGAAGATCCCACATGCTGCAGAGCAGCTAAGCCCGTGTGCCACAACTGAGCCTGCGCTCTAGAGCCCGTGCGCCACAACTACTGAAGCCCGCACGCCTGGAGCCCGTGCTCTGTAACAAGAGAAGCCACCACAATAAGAAGCCAGCGCACCACAACAAAGAGTAGCCCCCACTCTCCTCAGCTAGAGAAAGCCCACGCGCAGCAATGAAGAACCAACACAGCCAAAACCAAACAAATAAATAAATAAATCAGTAAATAGGAAATCCACGGACTTCCCTGGTGGTCCAGCGGTGGAGAGTCTACCTTACAATGCAGGGGCCGCAGGCTCGATCCCTGGTCATGAAACTAAGATACCGAATGCCGCGAGGCAACTAAGCCCACGCACCACAACTACTGAGCTTGCGCACCTCAACTAGAGAGCCCACGTGCTCTGGAGCCTGTGTGCCACAACTAGAGAGAGAAAATCCGTCCACCACAACCAGAGAGAAGCCCACGCACCACAACGAAAAGATCCCTCATGCCTCAACGAAGATCCCGTGTGCTGCAGCTAAGACCCGCCGCAGCCAAAAATAAATAAATAACTAAATAAAATAAATAATAAAATAAATCTTAAAAAAAAAAAAGGAAATCTAAACTCCTCTTCATGGTCTACTCAGTGGTTCCCAATGTGGCCCCATCGCCCACGTGGCCGGACTCATCTCTAGTTCTCCCCTTCCGTGAATCTGCCACCAAACCATAGAGCTCCTTGAATTGCCTAAATGTGCCATGGTCTTTCATGCCTCTGTGACCTAAAAAAGAGCCACTCCTGATGAGAATCATTTCCCCTTCCTCTGCCTGGCAAATTCTTTCTTAGTCATCCTTCAAGACCCCACTGAAACCTCACCCCCTCTAAAATCTCCCTCCCTAACAATCCCTCCTAAATGATCCCACAGCACTTGATACATAACTTTACTGCAGCCCATAGAAATATATATTGACTGCCTATGAGAGACCAGGCACTGTAATATGTGCTTTCATACACACACAGCACCATTTAATCTTCTGGTATAATTAACTCCATCCTTACAGATGAGAAGATGGGGTCCAGAAATGGCACCCCAAAAGTCAGCCAGCCTAAAGATGTCAAAGTCAGGATGTACCCAATCTGTCTGGTTCCAGAGCCCCCCTCCTTGCCCTCCACACCACACCTCTGTATGACATAGCCTTCCACCCAAAGCACCTGGTATTAGAATTACCTGTCCACATCTCTGCCTCTCCCACTAGCCCTTCTCTTCTCTAGAACCTAGCTCAGCACATGACACGTGAACCCAAGCTCTAGCTCAGGGACTGTCCGATAAAAGCATGGCCCAGCCCTCTGAAGGGATTCCCCTCAAAGTGTCTTTATGAGCAGCATGTACCTTTCTGTGTCTGTCGGTGTCCCGTGACTTCTCCCTCAGCCAGTCGATGGTGTGGAAGTCCTCATACGTCCCCACATCAGGGAACGGCTCGTCAAGGAAATCCATCAGGTTTCCAGAGCCACTCATCGCTCCTGCATTGACCATGCTACTTACACCTGGGAGAGAAAACCTGTCGTTAAAAATGTGAGCAGAACATCTGCACAGACCTGGCAGAACAATCCACGTGCGCTATTTTCTTGCACAGGAAAGACATTTCAGCATAGGCACCTCTGCGGTGATGAAAGATACATATAGTATGTCTTAGTGAGCACAAGCTGCTATAACAAAAATACCATAGACTGGGTGGCTTATCAACAACACACATTTATTTCTCACAGTTCCGGAGGCTGTGAAGTCCAAGATCAAGGCACTTACTTAGAGATTCAGTGTCTGGTGAGAGCCCACTTCCTGTTCACAGATGGCCATCTACTCACTGTGTCCTCATCTGGTGGAGCTCTCTGGGGTCTCTTTTATAAGGGCACTAATCCCATCCATGAGGACTCAGCTTTCATGACCTCATCACCTCCCAAAGGCCCCTCCTCCCAATACCATCACACTGGGGATTAGGTTTCAACATATGAATTCTGGGGAGACACAAACGTTAATTTCTTTTTTTTTAACTTTTTATTTTATATTGGAGTATAGTTGATTAGCAGTGTTGTGATAGTTTCAGCTGTACAGCAAAATGATTCAGTTATACATGTACATTTTTCCAATTCTTTTCCCATTTAGGTTGTTACAGGATATTGAGTAGAGTTCCCTGTGCTACACAGTAGGTCCTTGTTGGTTACCTATTTTAAATACAGCAGGTGTACATGTCAATCCCCAACTCCCTAACTATCCCCTTCCTCCACCCTTCCCCTCAGTAACCATAAGTTCATTCTCTAAGTCTGTGAGTCTGTTTCTGACAAATGTTACTTTCTTATTATTTGTGGTAGTTTTGTGCTATAAAGTCACCATGGCCACCGAATTAGTGAGTACTAAATCACTGTCCCCAAGAGAAATACAGGGTTAGGTTCCTTCGAGCCTCTGGTCACAACATTTTCATCAGCCAATCAATATACAACCTTGTTTTGTGTGTTTCTGTTTAAAGACACCTTATCAAATATATATCGTTGGTTCATCCACTGAACTCACAGCCAACAGCACTGTCACTCACACTGCAGGAAGCTTGTCTAACAAACATATTTTCTCCATAAGGCCCAGCACAGCCTTCTCGTGCTTAGAAACACTACAGACACTCCTGCCCTGCATTTCAAGGCCACTGGAAACAGCAAAATTACCAATAAAAAAAGCACAAAAACGTGAAAAATATGGCACTAAAGAGACTGTGAAAAGAACGCTTGTTTCTGGTCTGGGCACTGAAACAAGACGGCAGAGCACCAATTTCTCTAACCTCAGCTGGGATCGTGCATTCCTGGCAACTCAAACTTTTTGAGGCTCTGCACGTGCACTGACCGGGCAAGCGCCCCATGTATTGCTCTGGATGTTACAAATACATTTTAGTGAGCAGGCAAATTCACAAATACGGAACCGCTCACGATGAGGGTCAACTATAACCATTTCTAGAAAACCTCACGTTCTGCAAAAGCAGGGCATCAACATGAGAGGCCTGGGGGAAACAGGGTTGAGGCATACCACTCAAAACCAAATCACTGTAGTCAAACCAGTAACCGGTTCTCCTGGGAGATAAAGCGGACCACTGAGGCAGACAACCTCTGTGGATATTCAAGACGTACAGCAACAGCTGAGTGAAAATGCTAAGACTTAACTCACTGGTGGAAGCCAAGGTGATCCACAGAGGGAGTGGTCCTCTGCACCGGGGGCGGGGGGGATGCCATGGGGATGACAAGGGGGCAGGACAACCTGCCACATGAGCCATGCTATGGTCTGAACGTGTGTGTCCCCCCACCCAAATTCATACATTGAAATCCTAACCCCCAAAGGACGGTATTAGAAGGTGGGGTCTTTGGGAGGTGATTGGGTCATAAGGGCAGTACCTTCAAGAATGGGACTAGTGCCCTTATAAAAGAGGCCCCAGGGAGCTCCTCTGCCCCTTCCACCATGTAAGGACACAATAGGAAATCTGTGACTGGAAAAAGAACCATCACCTGACCATGCTGGCACCCTGATCTCAGACTGCCAGCCTCTAGAACTGTGAGGAATAAATGTCTGTTGTTTATAAGCCACCCAGTCTGTGGTATTTTGTTATAGCAGCCCAAACAGACTAAGACAAACCAAGAGCCATGCCAGGCTGGCAGCACACTGCCCCGGACAAGCAGCCCTGAGTGCAGGCCCTCACTTCTAATTTTCCTTAAAATACAGTCAAAAGGGTGCCTGCTGCCAGGGCAGTAGCAAAGTGGGAGGATTTCTTCCTTTCCTGCCTAAGATAACAATTCCACTCCTATTGTTCTGCCTCCCCTTGTCTGGAAAACAATCTCAAATAAACCAAGACATCTTCCATGTTACACCACCATCAGAACCTGATTTACAGATCACATAGGAAATAATTTGACACAGAGAAAACGCTTTGCAGCAGGACCAATGCTCACCACCAGTTAGCAAGAAAAATAATACACTCTTACAAAGACAAGAGGTGGAATAAGCACTAAATCAAAATTTCTTTGGCAAAGAGCATGGAAATTTGAATTGTAGGACGGGAACCACAAAAGTGCCGGAATAAGATGGTTAAAGAAGTGAAGGGTAGTTATTAAAATATTTGAGCCAGGCTTCTCTCAATTGCTTCATGTATTTTTATATCTGGAGGACTCAACCACGACCTGACAAAACTGCATTTTGATCAAATTGAAAAGTCGCTACAGGCAAAGTGGAATAATCACCTTACAAGCAATAAAATGGCGATAGTTATTGATTTATTGACTGTCTGTGCAACTTTGCTACTTTAAAACTTTAAAAGTTTGAAGTCTGAGCCATGCCAAGCCGAAAACTATACCCACTGATGAATGCCCAGGGAAGAATCACATTGCACAAGTCAGTAGCAACCAATAATAAAAGAGAAGGAATAAAATTAGAAAGCAAAGATTTCATTTTCATTTCTAGAAACACAAGACGGTAATAGCCTTGTATTATATGCGGTAAAGAAAATCTCTGATGGGAAAAAGAAGATGGCAGGCTGCTGACCCACAATGGGTAGCATGCGTAAGAAACACCAAGCCAGCAGATCGAAGAATTGCAGAGACTTGGACATTCTATTAAAAAGAAGTTCATGTTACCTGAAATTTAACCAAATCTCTAGTCAAGCAACAACTCCAGGCAATAATGATTGAAACAAAAAGTCACTCTGGAGAACAAATGTATCTTTAAACTTTGGTGGAGCATGTCATGGTCCTGACGATCAGAGGCATAATTGGTAAAGGAAAATAAACATGATCTAATCCGTAGATCTAATTGGAGGCTTTCCCTGGGGGCCCAGAAGGAGGTGGTGACTTCGCTTCTGAAGCTGGGGTTAAGAAAGACAGGAGGACCAGAAGCGTAAGAAGAGGGCATCCAGGTCAGAAATAATGGAAAGAGGGAATTCCCTGGTGGTCCAGTGGCTAGGACTCTGCACTTTCACTGCTGAGGGCAGGGGTTCGAACCCTGGTCAAGGAAGTAGGATCCTGCAAGCTGTGCGGCGTGGCCAAAAAATTAAGAAAAGAGAAGAAAAATGGAAAGAATTCTATCTGGGATCCCCTGGGAGATATAGATGGATAGGAAATGAGAATCCAGCCAAACACAGGAACAAAAAGGAATGAACTCCAAGGACTTGATGAGAAATAAACTTAACCTGTATAACTTCAATATGGCACCCAAAGGGATGCAAATACTGCTGACCCTTGAACACAGGTTTGAACTGGGTGGGTCCGCTTATACGTGGATTTATTTCAATAAATATCATACCTGTATTTTCGTTTTAGATCTTTACCTACGTGAGGCGAAAAGTTTGTGTTCGATTAGAGAGCCTGATATGTAGAATCACAAGAACTAGGGTTTGAGTCCTGATTCTATCCAGACTGTTTCAGCTTCCTGCCCTTGGGTGAGTCATTTATCAATTCCTTTGGTTTTGAGGCAGTGAGAGCTGGATGCGGACTTCCGACTGCGCTGGGGGTCAGTGTCCCTAACTCCCACGTTGTTCAAGGGTCAACTACAGTCATCTGCACCTTAGAGGGGAGCCCCTGCTCCTCTCACCTGGTTTTATTTCTTCTCGCCAATAAGAGCACTTCTGCTGGCAGATGACACCTCTGCTTGTGATTTCAGGAAGGACGGCATCCTAGATCCTGCATCTGAGATTCCTACTTGGTCTGGATCGTCGAGGTCAGAGCACAGCAAACTGCAGCCTGTGGGCTAAATCCGGCCTGCTGCCTGGCTTTGTAAATAAGTTCTAGAGGAACACAGTCATGCCCGCTCATTTACGTATTGTCTGTGGCTGCTGTCACATAGCAACGGCACAGTTGAGTAGTTATGACAAAGGCCAAACGGCCCCCAAAGCCTCAAATGTTTACTATTTGGCCATTTACAGAAAACGTTTGCTGACTCCCGACCTACACGGTGGACTGAACACAGAAACAGCTCAGATTCTCTACCTGTCCCTGCATCTACAGCATTTTCAGGGGGACCTTGCGGCTCCTCTTCATTAAGAGGTAGAGTCTATTTCTCCAGCTCTTGACTCACAGCTGGCCTTGGGACATGCAGTGGAAGTGACAGCATGCATGTACTGAGTCTAGACCCCCAAAGGCGACGCGGCCTCTGCTTTCTTCCTTGGCCTTCTGCCATAAGCAGAAGCCTAGGTTAGATGCTGGAAGATGAGTGATCACATGGAGTCAAGGTGGGTCATCTCAACTGAGGCCATCCTACATCATCCAGGCTCGCCAAGCACAGATTCATGAGTGAGCCCAGCCAAGAGCAGCTGGGTTTGACCCAATCAAACCACCCAGCTGACCTACAGACCGTGAGAAAAATGAATGGTTATTGTTTTAAGCCACCGGATTTTTTTGAAAGGGTTGTCATGTAGCAGCATCATAACAACGTTCAACAGGTATGATTTATGTGGGCTCCAAGGGAGAGAAGAAATGAAGATGGCTAAGTTAGTTACAAGAGAGGACAACTAA